GAAGTGGGGGGGAAGACAGGAACACAGAAAATATGGGAAAATATAGGGGAATATTTTTATTTGTGTGTATTTATTTGTGTGTCCCAGGGCCCCTTCAGGATCGCATGAACCGATGGAAACACTGTCTGCTCTCATTCTCAACCTCGGGCGCCACGTATCCCACGTGTTCTGGCACCTGCGACCCCAGGGTCGCGCTGGTATCCAGGAGGCAGTACAGCGGTGCTGGCTGAGAACGACTGCTGACGTGAGTGATCATCCTGCTCCACCAACTCTCTATCTCTGCAAGCGGTCGTCGAGAGCGTGGCGCGTGTCCAACCAGCACATCAATGCACAGGCCCGGCGCGCTTATAGCTGCTAATAGGTGCCGTGGTGAGTAGCTGATCACACGTACATGTCTGCGTGCCAGCGCGCGTCCGTTCGCGTGCTCGTGCTGCGTGTTAATCCAAAGAGCTGCTCCACACTCGCCTCCAGATTCTGCAGCTGCGGTGAGAGCTGTGAAATCGCCTGCTGGTGTCCAACCCAGTTCGGCACAACCGAGTCTCCAAGGTACCAGCTATGTGATATTGGCGTGTAGAAAGCTGATGAGCTAGCGCAAGCATGCGGCCAGGCAAATTGAGGCCAGCCGCATCCTGGTATCGACACCGAATCCTGGCACGATGCCCTCTTGCAGCCTTCCTGCGAGGCCGCAGTGTAAGTACATTCGCCACTGCAACGCTGACCTGAGGCGGCATTCCTGACCTGAGGGATTCTCGTGGCACACGCAAGTTTTTCGAGCCGCGGCCAACTGTTGGCGAAGTACGTAGGTCCAGAACAGGTGGGTAGATGTCGGGCATTTCGCACGCACCACCTTTCGGATAAACCCCAAGACCGTCGTTGGACTGTGCTGACATCCCTAACCATGGTACATCAGCGGCAGCATCAGGCGATACTGACCACGATTAACAGTCGGCGCCAGCAGTCGGGGCAATGCCCATGGACGCAAGGCGTGCTATGGTATCTGCAAGCTCCTTCAACGGATGAGCGTTGTGTCCCATGACGTGTTTCCATGTAGGTGGCGTGAACTGTCGTAGTACCTGCAGGGCTCCGTCGAAAATCCACGGCAAGTCCCCACATGACGGATGTCGCGTACCCCCTGCGGCCGCTGAAACCACCGATTGGTTACAGTCGGGGCCCTGAAGAAGGAACCCTTTTCGTTGGGGAGGGGCTCCGCGTTCCTTAAGTGTTTCGTAGCTTGCCTCAGGTTATCCTTATGGTTTCGATCGGAAATCGAAGTTTAACTTATGGAGAAAAGGGGCCTCGTTCCTTATTTTGGGTTCCTTAGGTCAAGGCCCTGACTGTATCAGTGAACATTTCCACTGGGAGATTACAAAACCTTTCAGGGGCTTGCAGCAACTATAGGACTGGCCAGAGAGCGGCTTGAAATTCGGCAGCGCCTGACGGGCTGGTCACAGAGTCAGCCAGCACAGGGTCGAAACCGCACGGATACCCGTCACATATGCATCTGCCCGTCATCGTAATTGGGAAGGTGCACCATGACCAAGAGGGGGGTCCGCCCAGCTGTGGATGTTTGGACCCTCCGGACCCATCTGTACACACTTCCAGTCATACAACTTTGTCGTCTGCAGGGGGGAGGGCTCCGTGGGTCTCAAAAAACTGCGGATATTGCTGTGCAGATACGGGTAAAAAGGCATCGCTCGGGCTCCCTCTGGGGCCCAAGCAAAAGTGGGGTGGTGGAGGGGCCAGGGCTGACGGAGGTGCCTAACCAGCATACTGCAATCTTGACTGGGGCATCGGGGGCGAGCTGGATCAGTCTCTGTCTGAGACTGCGATGGTGGCGGCCTGGCTGTACAAAAAACGAGCGGCGGGCAAGCTGTGAGATGCCATCTCGGGCAACTCACTCGCCAGTGCTTGCCCAGCGTCGACGCCCCCGATGCGCTGCCTCCGCCATCCACGACCAGAAAGCCAACCTCAGTCCGCCTCGGGCTGTGACTGCGACTGCGCCTCTGGCGACGGGTGGCCACTCCAGCCGCGTGCTCCTCACCTGCCTCGGCAGCAACCTCAGCACGTCCGACGGGCGTCGGTGGGACAGCACCTCGACCGCGATGGCTGGACGCCGCCTTCCGCCGAGCCGTGGCACCTCGCGGCCCCTGCTGTCCGCCTGGCCTGCGAGCTCGATCCGCTTCCTTGCCGGGCCTTGCCTGCCCGCCCTCTGCGCGGGCCCTCGGCCCCTCCGGCGCGGCCCGCCCGCCGGGCGACGACTGCGGCGCACCGCCGTCGACTGGGGAGCCGACGGCTGCGGCGGCGGCCTGGGCCGCGGGGTCCGCGCGGGCTGCGGCCGCGCCGCCCGGGCGGCGCGTCGGCGCGAGGCGCCGACGCGTCTGGGGCGACGGCCGCGGGCCCGGCTCGGCACGCGGGCGGCGCCGCTGCCGCGTGCCGCGGGCGCCGCCGCCGGGGGGGGCCAGCCGCCGCGGCTGGCCCCGCGAAGCGCCACACGCCCTCCTCCTCCTCCCCCCTCCTCCTCCTCTTCCTCCTCCTCCTCCTCCGCCTCCCCTCCTCCTCCTCCTCCTGCCTCCTCCTCCTCTCCTCCTCCCCCTCCTCCTCCTCCCCTCCTCCCCTCCTCCTCCTCCGCCCGCCTCCTCCTCCTCCTCCTCCTCCTCCCTCTCCTCGCCCTCCTCCTCCTCCTCCTTTCCCCTCCTTCCTCCCTTTCCTCCCCTCCTCCTCCCTCCTCCCTCCTCCTCCTCCTCCTCCTCCTCCTGCTCCTCCTCCTCCTCCTCCTCCTCCTCCTCCTCCTTTCCTCCTCCTCCTGGTCCAGGGCCCGACGCGGCTCGCACCGTGTTCGTGTTCACCTGCAGCGTCGTCGGCAGCTGTGCGAGTGACGTCGGCCGCATGGTCAACTGCGCGTGTCCCTGCCTGCAGCTCCGCGATGGCGGCGACGGGCGGCGCCTGGTAGGGGGGCGTGCCAGGAGCTGTGCCTGTCGCCGGCGGCGTGGGCGATGCCGCTGCAGACTCCATGTTCACGTCCGCGCCCGTCGGGGGTCTCATGGCCTCGAGCTGGTCTAGCAGCGTCTTAGCTCGACTGAGCGCCTGCTTCCGCTGCAGCACCTTTGCCTCCTTCTCCTCCAGGGTGGTTCGGGCCAGTTCAGCTGCTGCGTGGGCCTTGTCGAGCTTCACCTGTGCACGTTGTACGAACGCTCGCTGTCTGTCACACCTCACGCCTGGCGCCCGAGCTGATATGATCATGCACAGCTGGACCGCGTACTCCTCCTCCTGTGGGCGCATCTGCTCGGCTGTCATGCCAAGCTCCTTGGCCGCCTGCAGGCGCTTGCCCGTGGCGGCGGCCATGTGTCTCAACGATCTCCTATGGGCCGCCAGCTCCCGCTCATCGCGGGGAGGCTCTACCCACGCTGGATGAGACTGTGCGTCCAGCGGGAGAGCGGGCAAGATGCCCAGGGCTGGACTGCGCAACTCCTCCTCCATTTCCGATGCGTGGCCTCCGTCGGACTCCTCGTCGGCGAGCCTCACACGGGAGCTGGATCGTGGCCTTGACGCACTCGGCTGGCGGCTGCGCCGACGGCGGGATGCAGATCTTGGGCAGTCCTTCCCCTGCCGGGACTCCTGTCGCTTCTGGTCGGCTCACTGCCACCATCTCCACGTGCCGGGGGACTGCTGGGGAGCGGCATGCACGTCCAGCACAGCAGATCAGCAGGTCCCTCCAGCGTGCCGCACGTCTGGCACCCCCATCCTGGCGGCGGCGTCGGCGGAGCGTGCCAGGGGGCTGGCCCTCCTGCGGCTCCCGCGGCGCGCCCTTTGCCTCCGTGTCCTCCGGAAGGCCCAGCCCCGCCCCTGCCGCCACCGGCGCTCTTCCCACCCATGGGGCCTGCGCTGTGGTGCGCGGGCACCCTCGCCGCGGCAGCGGCCACCCGCAGCGGTGTGCGCGACGGCGTGCGCCGCTCGCGAGCTCGCCTGTGCCGGGCTGGCTCGCGCGCCGTGGGCGCCCGTCACGGGGTGGCGCACGCCGCGTCAGCAGCACGACTGGCCCGCACGCCTGTGGCAATCCACAGCGCGGGCTGGCACGTCTGACCGCCGTGCCCCGAGGAGGCTCGCAGCGCGCGGTGCCGGGTACCAGGGCGCTGCACCCGAAGCCTCGAACCGGGACGGCGGCTGGAGGGAGGAGGGAGGAGGGAGGAGGGGGAGGGAGGAGGGAGGAGGGAGAGAGTGGAGGAAGGGGGGAGGGGGGAGGGGGGAGGGAGGTGGGTCGGAGGAGGGAGGAGGGAGGAGGGAGGAGGAGGAGGAGGAGGAGGAGGATGGATGAGAGGAGGAGGAGGAGGAGTTTCCAACAGGCGCGGCGCAAAGCGTGCCAGGAGCACAGCTAGGCGACTCGGGCACGGGACCGATTGAAAGGAAAAGAACCCGAGCACCTCCCCAACAGGGCAATGCCAGCAGGCAGCGCCAACGGTCCAGGGCCATGCCCCCGTGGCGTGCAAGTGCGCGAAACAGGGCACGCAAGGAGACCGTGCTCCGACGAGGAGGAGGAGGAGGAGGAGGAGGAGGAGGAGGAGGAGGAGGAGGAGGAGGAGGAGGAGGAGGAGGAGGAGAGAGGAGAGAGGAGAGAGGAGTAGGGAGGGGGAGGGGGATGGAGGGGAGGGAGGAGGGGGAGGGAGGAGGGAGGAGGAAGGAGGGAGGAGTGAGGAGGAGGAGAAGAGAGAGGAGGAGGAGTGAGGAGGAGGAGGAGGAGGAGGAGGGGAGGAGGAGGAGGAGGAGAAGGAGAAGGAGGAAAAGAAGGAGGAAGGGGATGGAGGAGCAGGGTGCAGTAAGGGTATGGATGAAAGAAGACGGGTACAGAGGAGCTGGTGGGATGGAGGGAGGAGGAGGAAGAGGAGGGAGGAGGGAGGAGGAGGAGGAGGAGGAGGACGTGAACGAGGACGAGGACGAGGATGAGGACGAGGAGGATGGGCGAGCCGGCTGACAGATCGGACCCCCTCGGGCTTCAGCGGCTTCAGGCAAGTTCATGGCCCTCCGCTCGTTCATCCGCCGTGCCATCCAGCATGTCTTCTTCAAGGCCCGGGTTCCAATCTTCCCCCGCGCGCCCCACCCCCGCGTGCCGGGCCTTGCCGTCGCTCTCCTCCTCCTCCGCCCCCACCTCTCCTCCTCGTGTTCCTCGCTCTGCCCCCCTCGCCTCAGCGCCGACCACGCAGGCCGACGCGCGGGCTCTCACAAATGGCCAGGCATGTGCTCGGCGACGGGCACCCTCTGGCCACACCGCTCGGTCATCGATGTGCTGTGCTGTTGTTGTGCTGCACGCTCGCGTCGGACGTGCGCCTCCAGCGTCAGCACACACGTGGCGTTATCAAGGGCGAAAAAAGCACCTGGACCAGACTTTACAAGCCTTTGGCAAAACATGTTGGGCCCGATCGGTTCAGCCGAGTAGGATGGAGACGGTTATGTCTAAACGTCAAAGCATGTTTGGAATGCTTCTGTTTCTGTCAAAGCATACTAACAGTTAGTATGTCGTCCAGCGTCGTCCTCGTCCGCCGTCTCCCTCCGCGGCGTCCTCATGATCTGTCTGGTGCTCTCAATCCTCGCAGGCGCGGTGGGGCAGTGGGCCAGCCGCGGGCCGCACGCCACCTCGAGGCCAGGGCCCGCAGGCTCCGCAGACGCTCTCTGTCGCTGGGTTCGCTCTGGGATTCGGTGCTCTCGCTCCATGCCCCCCTGTTGCTGCTGCTCCTCTTCCCCCCTGCTTCTCCCTCAGCTCTTCTCCTCTCCAGGCCTCCCAGATGGGGTCGGAGCAGATGGGCTCGGAGGATCGCGCCGCACCGCCGATGCCATCGGCGATGCGGCTCAACGTGGAGCCCGATCTCACCCGTGCCGACGGTGCCGATGCATCGCCGACTTCGCTGGTGCATCGCCGATGCATCGGCGATGCGGCCCGAGCCCCGGACCCAATCCGGGAGGCCTCTGCCCTCTGCCTGCGCACCGTGTCGGCCAGGCCTGGGCCGCGGCGGGGACTCTCGGGGCGGGGCCAGGACAGGGACAAGGAGGAGGAGGAGGAGGAGGAGGAGGAGGAGGAGGAGGAGGAGGAGGAGGAGGAGGAGGATGACGAGGGGGAGGAGGAGGAGGAGGAGGAGGAGGAGGAGGAGGAGGAGGAGGAGGAGGAGGAGGAGGAGGGGTCTGGGCTTTATGCCTCCAGGGGCCCCAGGTCTTACTCGAGGGGGTCTGCGTGTTCAGTTTTCTCGTTCTTTTCGGCCTCCTACCAGGCCTCGGGGGTGTCAAAAAGCGGCCCAGAACCCAGACATGCGACGTCCTGATTTTCAACGCGGCGTCCCTGGAAGTCCCGATCCTTTCCTTCGGACAAGTTTTTCGTCCTGAGTCGTTTTTTGACGGTCCCGAGGCCTGGTAGGAGGCCGAAAACAGCCAAAAACCTCCCGTCCTATTTTTTAACGACGTGATCCTGTCTGAGAGTGAAAGACCGGTCCAGGGAAATGGGCCGAGACATCTGGAGGTCGACGCCATGAACAAATCATGCCGTCGGGGCTTTGGGTTCCTCTCGACCCAGACCCCCGACGTCATGCATGTTTCACTGCGTCGACCCCCCAGAGGCCTCGACCCCTTCCCCGGGACCGGCTTCTCATCCCGAGTCGTTTTCTGACGGTCCCGAGGCCCGGTGAGGGCCTGCGGACCCCGACTCCAGATCCGCCCTAATTGTTTTTTTCCAACTTGAAACTGCGTCGGAAATCCACCCATAAGAGGTCTAAAAAGTAGGGCGGAAATGTCTGCACCCAACATAAAGTGGGGCGGAACTCCACAGAAGTAGGGCGGAAACAGCAACAGAAAAGTAGGGCGGAAATCGGCATCCGCGGGGCTCGAAAAGTAAGGCGGAAACTCAAAGCCCTACTTACGAATTTTCCCAAAGTAGGGCGGATCCGGAGTCAGTGTTCTGCCTCCTGCTCCCCGGGCCCTATCGCGGTGCAACGAAAATTCCGACGGGGGGGGTCGCTACTTGCAAGTCGGGTCTGTCACATGAGGAATATTCCCAAATATGGTAAAAGATAATACGGGGACGATTTATTCACCATTTTCTACCTTGTTTGAGATTTGTTGATTGTCTTCTTTTTTTTGTTCGTCCAACATCCGCCTGTAGGAGGACGTGCCCGACCTAACGCTACCGTCGGCCTCCGGGGGGGGGGGCCTCGCCGGGCCTCGGGGCCGTCAAGACACGACCCGGGCGGAAGAACTGGGCTTCACTTGGCATCGCTCGGACGTGTGCATTTTTTCTCGGCGAGGACCATCGAGGACCATCCTGGACCATCGAGCAACAACAAAAAAAACGAAACCGAAAAATGCACGGGAAATGGACGTCCGAGCGATGGCGAGGAGGGGGTCCAGACCTTCTTGGGGGGGTCGACGGTTAGAGAAGCTCACGACGTCGGGGGTCTGGGGCTCCTGCGCTGCCTGCTGCTCGAAGCGGAACGTCTCGGGCCCATCTTCCGAGCCTGCCACCAGGGTTATGATGCTCCAGCTTACTCTAGCCTCGATCGCCAGAAAGAATTTCGAGCACCAGAGAAGTACCGAAACTCCAGGGTGTTCGCGTGTCGGGCCCTGGGAGACCCCCGCCCGACACTGTCTCGACACCTCTTCGACACTCTCTCGACACTCTTCCGGGCGCTCGAGATTATTTTTTGGGATGTGGTCCCTCAGTACGATGGGAGCAACACAGCACCAGGGCCATCCAGGAGCGGAAGGCCGAGTTCGCGCGGCAGGGTCTTGACTCCCTAGCTGCGGGCGCCTCGTGCCCCCCTCTTATCTCTAGTCCTCCCAGGCGTCGGGATGCGCACGGGCCCAAGTGGGCCAGAGAAGAGCGACCCACATGTGGGCCATTGTATCTCAGGGCTGGACCTAACCGGTGTTTTTGGTGATTTCGGGGGCCGTTTTCGTTTCGACTTCGTTTTTGCGGTAGAGGCGGATTCGAAACAAAAGCGAGGGAAAACGATGACACGACGAGCACGAAAAGCACCGTTTAGGTTCAGCCGTGTTGTGTCTTGCGATTCCTTGCTTGATTTGTTGTTGAGCTTCTCACTCGTGGGCCCCAAGTGGCCAGCTGGCTTCTCGCCCTCCTGCCCGTCCTCCTCGTCCTCCTCATCTCCTCTGACGAGGAGGAGGCAGAAGAAGCAAAGGATTGGACGACGCCGGCCACTGATGCCTGTTGTGCCTCTCCCCCTCCTCCTCCTCCTCCTCCTCCTCCTGCTCCTCCTGCTGACTGATCCGTCCGGCCGCTCCTCCACCGACCCTGCTCATCCTTGTTCGCCCCTTACCCATCACCCCTTCCCCCTCCCCCTCCTCCTCCCGCCCTCCTCGCCCTCGCCATCCCTTATCTCCCACCCCCTTACGCGGCCTCTCATGCTGAGTTGTCGTCGGGCGCCCGCTAGAAAAGGAAAGGAGTGCTTTACATTGAGTTATCGCTGGAATCGCGTTGTCGGTCGAGTGGTGGACTGGACGCGCTACAGATTGGAGGACCCATCTTCTTCCCTTCTCCCCTACCCCAGAGGTCATCTACGAGTCCGAGGGCCACAACGGGGTCGGTGAGCTGCTGGAGATCTTAGGCGGTTGGCATGTGTCAGAGCGGAGGAGGAGGAGGAGGAGGAGGAGCAGGTGGAGGAGAGATGGCGGGAGAGGACGGGAAGGAGGAAGAGAGGTGTCGCCGTGCACGCGGCCAGGGCGCGGGGCCGCGGCGGCCATCTTCCTCCTCTTTCTCCTCCTCCTTCTCCTCCTCCTCCTCCTCCTCGTCCTCGTTGTCCTCCTTCTCCTCCTCCTCCATCTTCTCCTCCTCCCCCCCCCCCCCTCCTCCGCCTCCTCCTCCTCCTCCTTCCTCCTCGTCCTCCTCCTCCTTTTCCTCCTCCTCCTCCTCCTCCTCCTACTCCTCCTCCTCCTCCCTTCCCTCTCCGTTTGAATAGCTTCTCCGTGTCGAGCCCCGAGGCAAGTTTTTTGGGCGGCCCGGGCGTTTCGCCTTAGACTTCTTGACCATTGATGGCCCGGATGCTTCAACGTTTACAACAGATTCACACATTGAGGGCGGGTGGCTTTCAAAATGTGGTTCTCGCTTGAGCGCCTCGCGCATTCGTTCGTTTAACAAATGCAAGAGCTTCACGGATTGAGGGCGGGTGGTTTTCAGCAGGTGGTTCTCGTTTTAGTGCCGCGCACACTCGTTGTCAAATTCTGCAAGAGATTCACGGATTGAGGGCGGGTGGTCTTCACATTGTGGTTCTCGCTTTAGCGCCGCGCGCATTCTTTTAACACATTTGTAAGAGTTTCACGGATTGAGGGCGGGTGGTTTTCAAAATGTGGCTCTCGCCGTATCGCCGCGCACATTCGCTGTCAACATGTGCAAGAGTTTCACGGATTGAGGGCGAGTGCTTCTCAACATGTGGCTCTTTTCTTTGCGCCGCGCGCATTCGCTGTCAACATCTGCAAGAGTTTCACTGATCGAGGGCGGTTCCATTTCAACATGTGAGTCTCGCCTTCGCGCCGCGTGAGTTCTTGTTAGAGAGTTGCAAGCGTTTCAAGGATTCCCATGGTCGACGTACCAGACATCGCGCTTTGGAAGGATTCCCGATTATGAGGGCGCAACAGTTACGATCATTCACAATTGTACGTTGGTTCTCGGAGTTCTGGTTCCAGGAATGGCGTTCTGGCGCGACTCAGGATTGTCAAGCCGCAACATCCAGGTTTATCCGTGGCGTTGGAATACCGAGTACAATGTTGTGGCATGCTTCAGGGTCTTCAAACGGTTGTCGTCCAATGAGGCAGGCCCCTCTGTGGAAATGAACCGTTGTAGGAGCCTAGGAAGAGGGAGCTTGGGGGGAGGGTTTTTGTCCAACATCCTTGGTCGTCCTCCTCTTTCCCCCTCCTCCTCCACCTCCTCCTCCTCCTCCTTCTCCTCATCCTCCCACTCGTCCTCCTCCTCCCCCATTCCCTCCTTATAGATAACTCCTCCCTGTCGCACCCCGAGGTCAGTCTTTTAGGGCGGGTCGGGCGTTCCGCCTAAGACTACCTCACCATTTATGATTCTGAAGCTTAAAACGTGACAGCATTTTCACAGATGGAGGGCAGACCGGTTTCAAAGTGTGGCTCGTGCTTTAGCGCCGCGCACATTCGCTATAACAATTGCAAGGGTTTCACGTATTGAGGGCGGGTGGTTTTCAAAATGTGACTCTCGCAGTAGCGCCGCGCACATTCGCTGTCAACATGTGCAAGGGTTTCACGGATTGTGGGCGGGTGGTTTTCAACATGTTGCCCTCGCTGTAGCGCCGCGCACATTCGTTTTAAAACATGGCAAGAATTGCACGGATTGCGGCCGGGTGGTTTTCAACATGTGGCTCTCGCCTTTAGCGCCTCGCGCATTCGTTTTATAACGTTGCAAGAGTTTCACGGATTGTGGACGGGTGGTTTTCAAAGTGTGGCTCTCGCCTTCGTTTTAAACATTTGCGAGAGCTTCACGGATTGAGGGTGGGTCGTATTCAAAATGTGGCTTTTGCTTTAGCGCCGTGTATATTCGCTTTCAACATTTGGCAGAGTTTCACGGATTGAGGGCAGTTCTTTTTCAAAATGTGATTCTCGCCTTAGCGCCGCGCACATCCGTTGTCACAACTCACAAGAATGTCAAGGATTCTCATGCTCAGCGTACCAGAAATGCTGTTCTGGAAGGGTTCAGGATTATGCGGGTGCAGCAGTTCTGTTGATTCGCGGTGTCGGAATCCCAAACATGGCGCTCTGGCGCGATTCCGGATCGTCAAGACACAGCAGTCAGGTTAATACGTGGCGTTGCAGTCCCGAGATCATTGTTTTGACATGTTCCAGGATCTTCAAACGGTTGTCTTCCAACGGGGCAACACCCTCACTGGAAATGAACAGTTGTGGGGTCCTATGAAGAGAAGGGCTTGGAGGGAGGGTTAATTCCAACATCGTTGATGACTCTTGGTTTTACACTGGTCCTCCTCCTCCTCCCCCCTCCTCCTCCTCCTCGTCCTCCTCCTCCTCCTCCTTCTCATCCTCCTCATCCCCCCCCTCCTCCTCCTCCTCCTCCTCCTCCTCCTCCTCCTCCTCCTCCTCCTCCTCCTCCTCCTCCTCCTCCTCCTCCTCCCCCCTCCTCTTCCTCCTTTTCCTCTCCTCATGCTCCTCCTCTTTCCCCCATCCTCTCCCCCGCCTCCTCCTCCTCCTCTTTCGGCCCTCCTCCTCCTCCTTCTCTCATCCTCCTCTGTCCCCCTTCTCCTCCTCCGCCTCCTCCTCCTCCTCCTCATCATCATCATCATTATCCTCATCATCAGCAATCACTCATCATCATCAGCATCATCTCATCTTATCATCATCATCCATCATCATATCATCATCATCATCATCACATCATCATCATCATCATCATCATCATCATCATCATAATCATCATTACCCTCCCCCTCCTCGTATTCTACTCCTCCTCATACATCCATCCTCTTCATCACCCTCCTTTCTTTCTCTCCTTCCTCCCTCCTTCTCCTCCTCCCCCGCCCCCCTCCTCCTCTTCCTCCTTTTCCTCCTCATCCTTCTCCTCTTTTCCCCCTCCTCCTCCCCCGTCTCCTCCTCCTCCTCCTCCTCATCTTTCGCCCTCCTCCTGCTCCTCTTCCTCCTCCTCCTCC